TACTAACATTAACACACTTTTATTACGATCCTCCCCCCAGACTCTGAGCCATTTCAGACAACTGGATCCTCCCCAGGATCTCTTTGCAGCCCAGGAACTAAGCAGCGGGTACATAGGAGATCTCCGAGACTGCAATACAAAAATTATGGAGCATAAATTATTCAATTACTGAGAACAGCACCAGGCCAACAGTTAGTGTCTTAATAGGTATTAACATGTAGTAGGAGCTCATATTAGCTAGTCTTAATAGTCTTTTAAATGACAGCATTTCGGAGAGTCCTAACATGTAGCAGGAACTCCGTGGCTGACTACTCTGAGGACTCAGACACGCCCTCAGGAAGTCTTCTATCTGTTGAGGAGGCAAGCCCATAAACAGAGTACAACCCTTTGCTATGTATGAAGGAGAGAGTGGTCGCCGGTCGGGTAGGGATTTCTGATTCCCTCTGAACATCACACAATGCTCTCATCTGCCCCGGGATGTTGTTTCAGGGTCAGGGCCCTCATTTCTATTTGCTGGCAATTGTATTTTTTCCTAGTGTGACTGCTTAAAATTGAGGGCAGAATCTCTACCTGCCGTATTGCTAAGGAAGCTTTATTTCATCATTTCCACAAAACGCCTTCTGCCACTTTTATTCTCTGTGGGATTGGTGTCTCGATTCTTAAGGTGCTTGCAACATGCTGTCTCTTCTCAGAGAGCTCTTTGTTCTTTGGACCACTGCCCTGTGTTGCCCATTTGTATTCTTTTTCTGCTAGCCTTGTTACCAGTAGGATGTTTGGGGTATTTTTAATTATTTCCCTTCTGTCAGAAAGAGCCATTTCCTATTTGGGGTTGGAAGATAGATGTCTTTATACTTAGACCACTTGAGGGCTGAAGCTGAGAGTTTCCTTTAAAATCATCACAAGCTCCAAATCTTGGGGGCGACTTGTCCTCATCTGCAAAATCTACGAAGCTGTCGTCAGAAATTTGGCTTTGCCATTTTCCAACACAGTTCTCCTTCTCTAAATCAGAGTTTCTCAACTTGAGCACTATTGACCTGGGTAATTCTTTGTTGTGGGGGCCGTCCTGGCATTCAGCAGCATCCTTGGCCTCAACCCATAAATGCCCATAGAAATTGCCCAATCTTAACAACCGAAAAATGTCTGCATTTTTGCCTGATGTCCCCGAAGGAGGGCCAGCTCACCCCAGGTCGAGAACTACTCTCAATAATAATCATGTGAAAGTAGGTTGACAAATTATAAAATGTGTTGATAAGCAAAGCAAACACATTCATGATAAGGACAACAAATAGCTGCAGAGCACTTAATGTGGGCGAGGTACTGTTTTAAGAGCTCTTTTCATATAAATAGCCTCATCGAGTGAGGTACCATTGTACCATAATTACCCACACTTTATAGATGGGGAAACTGAGGCTCAGGGAGGTTACATACCTGCCAGCTGTCTGAGCAAGAATCTGAGCCCAGGCAGTGTGACCCTCCTAGAGTCCATGACTTGAATTTACTGGGCTGCTCTTTATACAAAAAGTTATTGGATTAGATATCTACCTGGTGTAGCATGGGATGTTACCTTTGGTAGGTGCTTAGTAAATATTTAAGTGAATAAATGAGTAGCTATCAATCCAGGAAATTACTTAATATTTTAAATCAGTATTGAATAGATTCCTTACTTTAGTTCATATAAATTTTAAAAATGTACTTTTGTTTGGATACAATCAACTAAATATCATGCATTAGAGCAAAGCAGAGGGTCTTTTAGCATTTCTAAGCTCATTCACAGGTTTGTCAAGGTAACCTCTAAAGCTTCTGTTTGTGTGCTAGTGCGATTTTGTAGTATGTCAGAATGAAGACTGGTCAAACTGAACAAAGTATTATTTTCTTGATGAAATTAAGCAAAGCATTTCCCTGTGTCCCATAATAAGGAAAGGAAATCCATCCTCCTTCCTAAACTAGGTATGCATTCTGATGCACTGTTTGATAGTTTGACCTAGCTTTAGATCTTATTAAAAATTGAACATCTTTAACTAACAGGAAACCACTTTAGCCGATCGATCTTTAGCTTTCCATAGTTGGCTTCCTATAATAGGTAAGAGGGCCGGGATCTAAAGTTTGTTATAAATGCATTACATCTGATTTATATCTAAGTGAGAAGCCTGTATTTTATATGATAAAATATAAAAACATATTTTTTGTGTTCAAAATTTTTTTAATATGTCTTCTCTAAGGCCAAAGAATGGAAACTTCTAGAATGTTAATTAAAATAATAAAATATAACCATAAAATAGCAAGAAGACAACTTAATCACAATAGCTTCATCTTTTTGGTTCTCTTAAAACCCCTATTATGAAGTATAATAATTTTACTCAATGAGACCATAAGTAATATATTTTCTTGTTTAGATGATCTTTTAAAAAATTTGAGTGGCTTCTTTTGTTCCCTTAATTCTGAGGAGAATTCTGTTATTGTAAGGACAATATTAGAAAATATCTCAAGTCTCAATTTTCTTGGAAAAACATCTTCCAGATAACATGTGATAAAAGGCATAACAGTACCAATACATTTTATCTTCTTCAGTGATAGTAAGGGATATTTTTGTGTCTTGATCTAGGGTGTTTGCTTATAGCACTAGATTTCATGATTTCTATAATGAGTACTTACCACATAGTAAGTAATCTGTAATTTACCTCCCACGCAGCCTTGACGCAGAGCATTACTTTGCTATTAGCATTTAGAGTGGGTCCTCCTGATACCTCAATTAATTTATGGGTTACTCTACATACCTGGATATAAAGGAGCTGATTTCTAGGGGACTAGAAGGGTCATTCAGGCATTCTTTATAAACTTGGAATTTTGGAAAACTGAAGAAAACAAAACTAAGCAAAATAGAACTCCTCAGAAAATAGAAAGTGACTTTTTTAAGGTTTGGAGTTGTTCTCCAAGTTGATGGCCAGAATCTGGGTTCCCCCACTTCAAGCTCTGAATTGCCAAAAATAATTCTACCCTGTTAGTGAGGCTCATTACGTTTTATGAAGTAGCCTTCAGAAAAGAGCATCATTGACAATTACACAGAGCTAGCAGAGAGCTAAGCTTTCATTAGCCCATAAATACCATTCAATTTACTTGAAGGTCAAAATAATGGCCAGTCCAGAACACATTTTTCCATGACCCGGAGTTTTTTTTTTAAGTTGCCCACATGAGTAGAAAGTCAATAATCCTGATTCTAAGAGTATCTTTCCCTTTAAAATGGTTATATCACCAAGTAGTTTATTCTTCCACAAAAATCTGGCCCATGTATATTGCCCCCTCTTATCAGATTAATACTACTATGCAATCTATATTTAATGTCTTAAAAGAACCGTTTACAAGATGCTGAAAGGCACAGCTATTATTTCATGTTGTATCTACTTTACAAAAGTGGGGAAAGGTTGTAGCTAAAGGGCCGCTCCTTCCAGCAGGCCTCTAAATGGCTATAGATGTTACCTTAGATTTCATGGTTATGATAATGAGCTTGTTACAATGGAGAGACATTGAGGTTCAATCATTAAGGAAGAACGAAAGTAGGAATCCCTGTATGTCTTACTCAGTCACTGAATCCGAAAACATAAGATCTGAGAGATGTTTAAGTAATGAAGGGAACCAAATCTGAAAGATAGGACTCGTTTGTAAAACAAAACAAAACAAAAAGGCAGTACTTTTTAATGATCATCTCAAGAATAGAACTATGCAAATTGGGGGGGAGAGGTGGATTTTGAGCCATAAACTATATTATAAATTATTGGATAGAATTCTTTTGATGGGAAGAAATTAGACACTGACACATGAGATGATCACTGAAAGAGCCATGTTCAAATCTGTGTTGCTTACAATGAAATGATCATCATAGTCCAAATATATAATTTTCTGTTATATGTGAGGAATACGTGTGGCTGACTTATTTAATAGGTAACTGGTTCCACTGATTCCACAGATTCAGAAGAGAGATTTGCCAGTACCAACTGCTGGTCATCATTACTCTTTTTTTCATTGTTCAACCTCCAAACATTGGAGAAGAGTGAAAATTAGACCAGTGCTATTCACAACACAGCACATGCTTCTAGGAAAAGGATCGGTGGGAACTGAAGAATTATGTTGTCATTTTTTAGTGTCCTAAAATTATACATTCAGACACTGGAATTTGGGGACCATTTGAATTTTCTATATTTAAAAAAAATGCTCATTCCTTAGGACATAGCACACCTAGATAAGGGTCTTAGTGAACGTTGTGAGGGAGAGGAAATTGTTCAAGTGAGTTCATTTTGCTTTTGATAATTTTAATAAAATTATGCTGTTTAGTCATAGAAAAAACTGAAAATTAGGGGAAAATTTTTATTTATCTGCTATCTCTAGTTCTAACCAGTATAGAAATTTGGAGATTAACTAATAGAAATTTTGATAATGATGTGTATGTCCCATGTAAAATATTTTAACACAGCAATGACCTTAGCTTGTTACATACTCTTCAGTGTGCACAAATGTTGCTGAGAATTTGATACAGTGCCAGTTTTTCTAAGTATTACTGAATATATCTACCCACCTTGTGTTTCTTAAAAAAAGAGCATAGTGCTCCAAATTGCATTTTGAATAATTTCTGTTAAGTTCTGAAGTTACACAGTTTTAAACACTAGGAAAACTTAATGGTTAATTCTCTGTTTCTCACAAGTAAAACCAACAAAACAAAGTTGTCTAAGTAGCTTCAGTGTTGTTTTGTTTCGTTTTGCTTTTTTGAATTTTGGCATTATCATCTACCTCTTTTCGATAGCTTAAGAATTAGTCAAAACCTTTTTAAAAAAGATCAGTATTAGCTCTAATAGGACTCTGTTTTTATTTTAATTTTTCCCCTAATTCGAGGTGCATGTTACAGCTTACCATTGTGGTCATTGTGGTTCATTTCATTAAGCTTCTTGTTCTGTCTGCTTTCTTGAGACTTGGGAAAGAGTATCGTTCTGAGTGATTGTACTATATTGTTCCAAATATAAGGCCACCCAGAATAGAAGGCAACCTCCAACTAGAAACAGCTCAAATATGGAGAAAGGCTGGGGTCCCAGAGCCCGGCGGGTCTTGCAGTGGTGGCAAGGGTGCCGAGGAATAGGACGATGCCTGCCCACTCTCCCGGTGAGTGAAGATGAGTCAGCTGCTGCGTTTGCTTGTGCATACAGACGGCTTCTGTTGCTAGAGGAAGAGTTACATTGGGGAGGGAGAGAGTCAATCTGTACACACGAAAAAAAGGTGCTGTGTGTGTCTGAATCTGGGGAGGGAAGCTGGGAGTAGAGTCGTTCATCTCCTAATCGGTCAGCGTCAGTGTTGTTGTTTATTTTTCCTGAACGTGGGGTTGAAAGTTGAATAACCCCATGCACTGGAGATGCATGGAAGGTACCCTGCACCTTTCATGAAAAGGAGCTTAAAAGGTCCATGGCCATGAAAATGAATCGTCTGTAGACCAGCCCAGAAAACTATTCCTTGCCCTATGAAAGTGCTCGCTGACCCAAGAGGTGGTGTGTGCACTCTGCGATCATGAGTCGTTTGGAAACAAGCAACCCGGAAGCTGGGAGTCACATTTCCAATTTTATTAAGATTTTCTTCTTTTTAAATTCCCTGTCTCCTGAGCCAGCCAAGTTACAATTTAAACAAACAGGCTTAATGGTATTGTAATAAATTGCAAGGGACTGTTTCAAATCAGTTGTTTCACTAACATTTCACTCAGCATATTTTAAAAATAGTTACGTGAAAATGTATTAGTCAACTGAGAGTAGGTAGATAATTCTCCAGATATGTCACAAAGATATATAGCCTTTTATTTTAGAGTAATGGGATGTGATAGAATGAAGTGCTTGATTGTGTTATAATCTAGAAAACAACGGAGCACACATTGGTGTACAACTTTACCAGGCATTTGCTTACCTTTGTGACTTTACAGTAACCATGTGAAATATGAACCTTGATATTTCCAGTGACCTAGTCCTTGGCTTACCAAGAAGACTTGAAGCAGAACTTTAATCCTTGAATGAGTTTTCCCCACTGTGCAGTTCCGACTTTAGGTATTGTTATTATTAAAAAAAAATAAGAGAGTGTTTAAGGGAAGAACAGGACTCTCCTTAAGTTTAAACAATGCCAACTTACCCAAAGGATTTGGTTTAGGAAAACCAGTTATCATTAATTTTAGAAATTCTTTTAAATCTAAATGCCCTGAAAGATCGAAGGCCCCATGCCCAAGCAAAAGCATGCTAGAATTGATATGCCTACCATTTTGCCAGTTTGGGAAGGGAACATTTGAAACAGAAGGGCTGGGCAGCAGAAGGTTGGGAAGGAAGAGTTGGAAGGAGGAATAGCCGAGAATTATGGCCTGCCCAGTGAGATTACCAGTTAGAGGGCCAACTGCTTTGCGTTGGTGGGTCCTAAATGAGAAGTTTGCAGTGAACTCCGCATCACCTCAGAGCCCTTTTCAAAACCATTCCTAAGGGTGGTAGCAGGTAGGGAAAGAGAATAGTAGGGGACCAGAGCTATTCAGAGAAGAGCTTCCTTTAGAACTCCTTCATTTTGGAAACATTTCTTCTCTGCAGAGGAAGAGGATGTCCAAAATCTGGTGGTAATGTTGGGGGTGGGGGTGGGAATGGTAGGCCCCTTCACCACCTTTAAATTTCTAATAAGTTCCCTTCTATTATTTGTATTGGGCACTATTATGTCCGATTTGATCTGAATTACAAATACAGGAAAACATAGACATTTTTCCCCCAGAAGGTGTTGGGGCTATTATAATTGGCTTTCCTGTGTCATCACCTGCTATTAACATAATTATTAGTAGCAGTGGAGGACAGAGCTGGAGAGGTCCTCTAAATGTCCTATTCCACAGCTTCCTCTCCCTGGTGGCTAGTAAGGGTGGGGGCAGGACCTGATTTGATTTCATAATTCTCTGAGCAAGGAAAAGAACATGGCTCCAGTTGGCTTGTGAGGTGGCAAGAATAGCCTTCAAGGATGTAGGAAGAAAGGACAGTGACAAGGGAAGGGGGAAGATACCCCAAATTGCAAAAATGATAATCTTTGTAAAAATCAATGAGAATTGTCAATTTCTCTACAAATAGTATGGTCTGCATAAAACCCATACTTATAACTGTTGCTGCTCTCAGATTTTCCCTCCCATCCCCAAAATGCACAACACAGAAGCTCTTCTGTAGGTGCTGGAAAATAAATGTCCCTAACCACAGTTGTCTTCCATTTATGAAGCCATCTTCGGTGGCTCCTTCTCAGGGTATTAGAGTCATAAGATCAAGGTAAATGGAGCAATTATTAATCTGTTAGGCATAAAGAAAATATGTAGATTTGTTGGACAGAAATTAAAATCTCTCAGGCCCTTCGAGTGTCATGATCTCCATAAAAACAGGTTTGGAAAATTCCCATTTGGCTGCTTTTTCTAGGAGGGTACATAACTGAAGTTTTCCTTTTCCCCAGTTCCTGTATGGGTGACTATGAGTCTCGTAGGCCAAGTTAAACATGCCCAAGTGCTGGTTTTTCAGCAATGAAGTCAAAGTCAATAATGTACAAATATGTAATTTGTGGCCATAGTTATTTTTTAAAAAAAACAAAAAATAATTCTTCCTTAAAGAAAATGCTGAGTTTGGGTAAATCTCTCTGCCTCCAAAAAGGGTTTTATAAGACACACCATTTCTCCAATGCAAGAAGGTGATGTGTGCATATTTTCTGAGACATATGGAATATAGCATTTGTCTTGCTGAGTGAGCATGTTTAACTCAGCTGCTGAGTAACTCACAAATTCCCTACTCTTGAGTATCTTTAAGTTTTAAAAATCATTCTTGAAATGTTCTTAATGGGCATTCCTGAGGGGGCATTGTTCTCTTTGGCAAATCAGAAATGACATCTGGACATGCATAGAGATGGCTCTTGGTTAAGTGTTCTTGCTGGTCAAGCAGCAAGTGTATTCCAATTAACAGGTTGAGAGCATCTTAGGACAGGCTAGAAAAAACTTAAAGCGCTGATTCTCATTTGGCAGTGAAATTGAATACTGAATGACATCTATGCAGTTATAAACGACTTTTGTTTTAATAACAAAGTTGTTGATTTTCTACTAAGGGTTCTTTTAGGTTGTCATCAGGGGCTGATGGGAGTAACAGTCCACCCAACTCTCCAGCTAGCTTCAGTGGACATACCACACCTTCTCAGCAGCCTGAACCCGTGGTACATTCTCTTAAGGTAACCAACTGTGTCCAACCGTTTATCCAGATCTTCAGTTGTGTTGTGGCTTGTTCGCTATAGTCTGGTAGTCCTCACAGTCTTGTTTTAACCGTAGATACTATAATTTTTGAAGTATAATTTTTTTTTGAAACGAGTTTGAGTACTCCTGGTTGAAATCTCTAGTTTTATCATTTTGTTTTGAGTAATGTGATTCATATCAATCTGCATTGAAGTTGAAGTCTGATGTGCATGTATATCCATATGTGTAAACTCTCGTTCTGGGTATTTGATGTGCAGTGTCCGTAGCATGCATGTCTTCAAAAGAGGGAGTCAAGAGTTGGCCAAAATAAGGAAGGATACCCGATTTTTCTTTCTTCATGCAATTGAAGTACACGGTGCAACCAACTGAAAGAAAATCTTGAACTAAAAACCTCTATCCCTCATTAAATAGAAATTAGGTCTTCAAACTCTAGTTAATGCTCTTCCATAGAGTATTAGAAAATAGAGGGTCTTATTCAGAAAGCTAGTTTTATTTTGGCTTTTACTTCAGATCCTCCAAGGACTTCAAAAAAGATTTAGCTGAAATTTATTATTTTCTTTGCCAATAGTGAGCTTTCCAATAAATAAGCACTATACATAAAATTAATAATATAAATATTATCTAAGAGAAGAGACTGATGCAGGCAATAAAAATCACCTTAAAAATTAGGACGGTTCACTGAAATTTTATCAATACCGTCCTTCAAATGATCTGTAATTCCTAACACATAGCCTTGATCAAACCTTTCTGAGCCATAAAGTAGGCAGCGTGCTTTAGTCCCACACTTGCCATAGGAGTTTCACAGCCTCACTAAAATGTTTTTGGTTTTGGAATGATTTATCAGCAGCATGAAGATGCACTCTTTTGGAGTGGGCCACACTTCCTTTGGCATGCATAAAGCAAATAAGCAGATAAGAAATTCAAAATACGCATTTGATTTGGTTTTAGCAGGAGATTTAGCTCCCTCAGTCATATTTTGCTGTAACTTCCATGAAATGAGTTGCTCCTCCCAAGCATATACTGCTTGCGGATGAGGGAAGGTAGCAGAACCATGCTGGTGGCCAGTGCAATCTTGTCTTGGTTGGAATAACTCACCAAGTGAGCAACCGAGAGGAATTTGCATGGGAAGACACACCAGAATGAGGGGCGCTGCCGTGTATCTGGGGGGTGCTGATTTATCAACTGACCACCATCTTGCTCTCTGCAGTAGCATTTGGACGCAGTTTAGCATGAGCAGCATGCTAAACGTGCTGTTACTTGAGCATGAACCAGACGCTAGCTATCTGAAAAGCATCCTAGAAATAAAAAATGAGTGGCTTCAATCCTGTAGTGTTAGCGTCTGCACATACTCCAGCAACACATTGCTCTGCTTTTCGGATTGAAAACGGTTTCCACCTGTTGCCTTGTTAAATGGCAAGTGTAGTTTGAATCAGATCAGCATAGTGGATAGCACTGCAATCTTTCCCCAATTTTTCACTGCACCTGTGTTCCTATGGTCTAAAAGGAAGGGACGGGCAAGGGGGAGCTCTTCACTTTTCTCTGAATTTGTTCTCTAATTTTCATATAAAATTTTTATCTCAAGAGAGAAAGATACTATGTTATAATCAGAACATGTTAAAGTGTCCTCACTCGGCAGATGGGTAGTACTGAGCAACTGAAGCATAAGGGGAGGCTCTGGAATACAGAATATGTTTGCTTCCATGAGTTAACTGTGTCATGAAACAGAAATATGTGCCTGTGGTAAATGCATCTTAGGGATATCACAATGTAAAGGAAGAAATGTAGCCACTCACGCATTTTGTTTTTTAAAGCCCACAGATCCTAGAGGTGATTTATAACATAAAATTTCTCTGTTGTGAAAGAATTAGAACGATGGCTCAGTTTCTCATCTTCTGATAGATTCCAACGCCCCCCCACCCCCCCAAAAAAATCTCTAGGCTTTAAAAAAACACTGTTGTTGTGGTTTGGGAGGAAAGTGTTGTAAATCAGTGTGAGAAATTAGCCCACTTGTAATAACACCACATTTATCTTTAAAATTCATGCTATTAATTGGAGCTCCACTTCATTTAGTAGAAATTAACTGATTTGAAGTACACTTCTCTGAGGTGCATTAGAAATTGAATTTGTAGGCAAATGAGCTTGTTCCAGGAGTTAAGTTTTCTATGAATATTCACTGAGCATAGTCAGGATTTCCTCTGAGTGTAGAAAGAATGTGAATGGACTCTAATCGGAGTAGCAGGGTGAGGCTCGTTTCCTACCGTGATAGCCTCCCTTAAAGTAGTAGTACCTACAGAGTAATAAAGGCTGGACGTTTTGAGTTAATGAGGGAGTAGTTTGTGAATTAGATTATTGCAGGATTGAACTCCAGTAAATATCCATGTAGACTATCTATGAACTTGACATGAAGGTCTCACTTCACGCTTCATTTATTTTGGCTCAGCTGTTCATTGGTGCCAGTTCTCAGGTGACACCTTTAGGTGTGACCATCAGCATTGACCAGGATGACAACAGAACCAAGGAATTTAGCAATGTGACAGTTCAGTGGTGATTCTTGGAGGAGCTTTTATGAAAAGCGTTATTTTTGGGGTTTTGTTTTCTTGGGTCTTTTTGCTCTATTGTGCTTTGGCTTATAAGCGGATATAGAAAAAAATAACACTCGAAACCAAAGTTTTCTCCCCTTTTGACCTATAGAAAGTATGGCATGAAAACTTTATAGACATATTTGAAGAATTATTGTTTTGAATCCATTTAGAGATAACGTGGAGAAGTGGAATCATAGGCCTCTAAAATTGCTTAAAAGCATCTCATCCCAACACTTTCTTTGCTCTAATGAAAAATAAAGTGTTGCTCAAATATTTTCACTGTAAGGAGCCAGTTTTTCTCTTTGATATTATCATTTGCATAGGCCTTTTCTAGGCCCTGGGAACATGTCCAGGCAAGAACTGTGATGTCAGTAGCGTCCATGTTCACTCGAGTTCTTACGTACATATTCCTGGGTTCTGACCAGTTTCACCTGTCAGTATCTTTTAGTCCTCTTTTCTATAGGCCATGTCTACATATCATTTGGATTATTTGGCAGATCATTAATTATATTGCTTACCTTTACAGTGGAGCGAGAATTTCTCCAAATGGTTGACATAGTCATGTTATCTTAATGACCCACTTAACTAAATTCATTAATGTCTACGATTAGATACATTCAATTGACTATTAGTGATAAGATTGCTTTTCATGGTCATTTGAAAGTCAAGTAGAATTGATCCCTTTTAGATTTCAGATCAACTATTTTAAAAATTTTGCCATATATTAATCCACTCTGATATGCAGACACGGAGAAAACCAAAGGTTTTACAAAGTGGAGCTCCTTGATGGTTTAATTCATAACTAACAAGTATTTTTCCATGTGAAATTTGCTTTTCTTTTTCAACAAATCCAGGTCTTGGATGTTCAGGAAACTATAGATCGTCAACAGGGTAAAGAGTATGAAAATGACCTTAGTGAGACAGAAAAAGCTATAGTCAGAGAAATGTGCAATGTAAGTTTAATGTGCTTTATTGTGTATTCTGTGTTGAAAGCCCCATCGTAGCTTAGTTACTTTATGAATACCTACTTTTTAAAATGCTGGCCAAATGCCTTTATATTTTTATATGAAAATAAAACCAATTCCCATTTTTATCTTTAGTATATTTTATTGCAGTTTTATTAACAGTCATAAAATATTCAGGTAAGCGATAATCAGCCACTTCTGGATTCCAGAATGATCTATGAGCATTTTTAAAAATTTATTGTCTAAAATATTGTGGTGCTAGTTTTGAGAAATAGGTTTCTGTCTCATACTTTTAAGCAGTACCTAAAAATCAGTGTTTAAAAACCTGTGATAAAACACAGCCTTCTTCAGACTTATTTATAACCATACCTGGAAAAAAAAAATGTGATATGGACACTTCATGTCCTGCAAAGTAGTATCTTTACCTTTCAGTGGTGAATAAGAATGGACACACAGAAATCAGAGCAGAACATGGTTAAAAAAAATTGACATGCTGTTTTGATGCATATCAATAATGTGATTTGGATTTTATTATTAATCCCTGGCTAAATTTTGAGTAATTTGCATAGGTATATCATTTAATCAAGAATATAATTAAAGTTTGTTAGAAAGCTAAAAAGAATATTGTAGGGGAATACATTTGTTAAAAGCAAAAATCAGATTATATTAAGCATTGATTTTAATTGGCTCTATATTGTACTTTTATCCTATTCTTTGTCCATTAGGCTATCAAAATTGCTTAGAAATGCTTTTAAGCTATTAGGGCCAGATATTCTCATGTATCTACTTCCCTGAGGTGTTCTTGGAATCCAGTAAATGTTTTAAGTCCCCTGGGCATTTTATATGTGCTGGGGCCACAGTTTTAGTCTCCTGCTTCTTTGTGTTGTAGCTGTTTTTCTTTTGAAATTCTTTCCAAGTTATTTTTCTTTCCTGCATGTTTTCATCTGTTTTCAAAAGGTCATTGGTTTGAGAAGTCATAATTTCCCCTAATGCACCACTCTTCACACCTTCTGTAGCTTTTCAGCCTGTCCTTAGGGTTTTCAATTTGAATATTTCCTTCAGATCAATTAAAAAAGTTAAGCCACACACCTTAAAAAAAAAATGCCTGTTGCTTCTCATCTGTTGACTACGGAATGAGAAATAAAGTTCAGACGTTAGGAATTCTAGAACTAGAAGGGAGCACAGTGATCATTCCACAGGTGGTTCTCCAACTAGTACAACAGGATCCTTTGTAATTCAGATGGTGGAGTTTCACCACAGCCCCTGAGCAGGTTGGAGAGGAAGCTCTGGATATGATCCCCACATTTGCATTTTATGTTTGAAGAAGCTAAAATCCCAAAATAAAGTTGCTTGCTCGAATTGTTCTCTAATGAACAGTAAGTCAGGACTATACCCAGATGTCCTCGGAATACTAGCAATCACCACTTTTCCAAATGGGGTAAATCTGGGGCCTTCCATTTTCTTTTCCCAAGAATGAAAAGCAATGCATCTTCCAGAAATGTGTGAAGTTCTGTAAAAATACAAGTCAGGATTGGTTGTTTTCTTGCCTTTTTGTTTTAGATATAAGACTTCTGGACATTAGAAAATTCATTTCTTAGTCACAGAAGAAACATATTAATGGACTGGGTCTCGATTAGTTCGTGTTGATCTTTTTATAGGCCTATATTTCCAAAAATGCTTCAAAAGACCATATGCAGTGCAGTGGTGTTTTTCCTTGTAGAAGGTATTTTCAGGAAGCCAAAAGCTTGCCCTCCTTGTTTGCCTTTAGCAGTTCTTTAGGGGTCCTTATCTACTTTTGTCTTTGATTCCCAAAATTTGATGAAAAAAATGCAAGCCAACACCAATCTGATGATTAGTACTCTTACATTTGGAAACTTGTTAAAAGCTAAGACAAAAAGATGTTGATTTAAAATATTTTTGTCACCATTACAAATTATTTGAACATCGAACACACATAGTGCATACCGGAGAATAAAGGGAAAAACAGATTGTGAGAAATTTTCACAGATAATTTCTTAGAAACAAGCTAAGGTTGTTAAACCTAGTAGAGGAACTATGTGCTTTTATAATAATGTCACAGAAATGGAGTTTTCTTATGTGAGATCAGTTCGAAGACTCAGAACTTAGGATAGTAAGTTTTGCCTCTGTTTCTGGTGTTCCTCCTGGAGATCAGTTGTCAACATCTGTACAAGGAGTCCCAAGGAAGTGACTGTTAACATCATGTTGATTAGTAAGAGGTGCTTTTATTCTCTTCCCAAATTGTGCCACAAAAATAGATTTACAGTTTCTTAAAGTGCAGTATATTTCTTTTTGTAATAATGGTATTTTTTTTTTTTTTTTAGGTCTGTTTGGCTCTTATAAATTCCCTGAGAACAGCTGAAATATTTGACTGGTGGACTCAGACCCCCACCTATTCTTTTAGTTAACAAGTCACTACTCTGTGTCTGCCTTAGTATCACTGGCTCATTTCAGAGTTCTGCCTTCTTGGACTCTTTCACCACATAGTAATTTCAGGGTTAAGGCCCATGGTATCCTACAATGGAATACTTGGAGAGCGCTTGCAGTTTGGAGTTGTAACCATCTAATGCTTTGTGTCAGTGCTCCTGGAGGTCTTTGGCTTAGCAGCAGAGGATAGATTCAGACATTCAAAGCATTCTGGTCAGCTGTATTTGTATATACCATGTAAGGGCTAGAAAGGGTAAGTCTGTAGCATCCCTTGGCTCCCTGATTCAGTGTTTGTTACCTTTTCACTATTAAGAAATGAGAATTTCCCTAACTCCCTTGTGGGCAGCTTGAACCCTCCATTGCTAGATCATTCCTTTCCTACTATTTAAAGACCATTAGTACACTCTTCTTCAAATAGGACAGGTCATTTCTGCCACATAGTTGTGTCCGCAAGAAGACGAATGGCTTCATTGGCTTAGGAATGAAGGTAGACAGCACCTTATATTCTTATGTATAACAATGAATAGTATTGGGTTACCCTAGAGTATCTGCTCTATTTAAAATAAATGCAAAAAAAAAAGTATCAATGAACCCACTGGTGTGTTCATGTTAGAGCTATGTAAATTTTTAGGGAAAGAATCAATCTGAAAATAATCTTCATAGCGAATCACCCTAAGGAGGGTAATGACTGTTAATCTGGGGAAGGAGGGTGCATTTTCCAATTAGCATTAGCATATTGGTATATCATTGGTGAATTCCATGGTTTTACTTTATATTCTTAATCTCATCTTTTGCTGTTGTCCCTCTAAGATGACCCAATTTTTGACATATTGTATCTACTTATTGATTCTTGAATGTATTAATATTTTCCCTGCATTTGGATGTTCTCTGCTTCGATAATCTGAGATTTTATACTATTTGGTAGCTAAGATTTATGACTGAGGGCCCCCCACTCTATAGGGAAAGCCAGGGAAATTGACTAGTGGCCCTAAGGCTAGTAGTTCAGGGCTTAAATAGCTCAAGAACAAAAACTCCTTCCTTTTCCTTAGTGGATTAAACATTGTGGTATCCCTGGTTCAAGATGTAGGATATAGAAACCAGGATGATTTTGCTCATGTGTTCTTAATTCTGGCTATACAGAATTATATTAGCTTAAAAAAAAAAATGACCATGCCTCCCCTCTACCAGTGCCGTCAGAGAGTGGGAGTTACTGTGTAAGCTTCAAGTGCACAGTGTACAGCTTGAGTTGCAGACCACTCATGAACTAGAGTAAGTTGGCACGTCTTTCTGGAATTTTGACCCTGATTGCTGACAAAGCCTAGTAGTTCCCTCCACTGAGCAGCTCTTATGAGTTAGAAACTTCCATCACTTTTCACTGTGTTTGAGCTCATTCGTGGAGGTATTTCGTCTCGTCTTCACATTCCTCTTTGCCCCTTCATAGATCCCCCTTTAAAAACCACAAATCTCTTTGTGAATGGGGCAATTAAGACGCTTATTTTTATTTATGCATTTTACTTTTCTTAAGGTTGTGTGGAGGAAACTTGGAGATGCTGCAGGTTCCTGTCCTGGAATTAGGCAACATTTGTCTGGAAACCAGTACAAAGGACCAATGTGAAAGGCACTCTTTCAAACAAGAGATCACCACTGCCAGAGAGAGAAAAGAAGAAAAAAAGCTTGGACTCACTGAATAACCTGGAGTGATTGTATATTGCACATATTTTCCCTCTAAAACCTTTAGTATTACTGACGCTGTATTTCACGTCTCTCATTTCCATGTCCACAACAGCTCATCTCAAACAGCTTTGAAAATCACCATTTGGGTACCACTATTTTCATTAGAACTAAAATGTTTTTGACTCCTCAGATCTAAGCTTGTCACTGGGAAACCTGCATGATTAGAAGAATCCAGTAGGGCCTCAATGGGTTTGAAGGAGTTGACTCATTGCACAGAATGGTGGGACTTTTCTAGCATGCTGTGTTGAGGAAGAGGTGTCTTCCAGCTTTCCAAGTTTGGGAGTTGGGCACCTACTTCTTATATTTTAGTCAACAAATTATGAATTCCTGATGCATAGTGAATTTGGATGTAAGATAAGCTTAGGTTTCTGGGATTTTGTTTTGACTGTTGAGGTGCTAAAAATACCACATAAATTCTCTTTACCAGCTAGAAGGGTAGCAAGACTTTGTAGAGTGCTTATCAGAGAGTACCATTTATTTCAAGTGATCAAGATAAATATAGCTTTTCTTTTAATCTTGCTATATTCATGAAGACATCTCGGGGACATACCAACTTCCATATTCATTCAGTGTATCCATTGATGTTAATATTAATTCCAATTAAAGAACAAGCAAACATAATTTTTCTAAGTGTTTCCAGCTGTGAGATGTCAATTTCTACAATTTAGTTTCTAGATCTGCTGTTATATTTAATAAACTTTATGTAAACTTTAAAATATTGCACTGCATTTATGAAAAAAGCTTTGCCTACAGCAGCTAACGTTTTATGAAACTGACGCATGTCCTTCATTATTGAGGCTAAAAGCTCTTGTTCAGATTGCTTGAGGTTTGAAAAAGAGGTGTGCTAGCTTTGCTTAGTTTATTTTTGGTATATATATATATATAGACAGACTGTGTGTATTGGAAATGCTATGATAGGTATTTTGTGTTTTTTTAAATGCAATGATAGTTTCTTGTATGAATGTGCCAGAATGCTAAGTTTTTATTGTAGTTTAAAATTATAAGATTGGGTTCATAGCAGATGTTTTTAAATGGACTCATTACAGTGTGTTGTCATTGGTGAAGGAACGTGAAGGACTTTCGTTATACTTTTTAAAATGTTACTGTGATGAAAAAACAGCCCTGTTTTCAGAAAATATTTATGAATTTACTATAGCATTATCTCTAATTATTGTAATTGGCTTACCAGTTAAGCTGATCTTTCTTTTTGAAATGTTATATTATTACTCTGTAAAAAAAAATTGCTCGCTATATTTACACCTTCTCTTGTAGAAAAGCTTTCATCCTTAAATTGTTGTATTCCTACGCTCTGAGGACATTTAAAACAAGTTTTTGTGCCTGCAGTAGACACTGCAGAAGCTAATCCAAGGAACAGTGGTCTTTTGACAAAATACTTGTGTAAATTTTGATACTGTATTAAAACTATTTTTTTAAAGTTCTGCATAAAATTGAGTATCAAGTATATGTGTTCATCTTAGCAATGGTAATAAATTATTTAATCTCAGTGTTTTTCCTTCAAAATGTTTTTCCTACATTGCGTAGATTTCTAATAGTCACTAAGTAGCACAATGTTTCTGTATGGTGGTATTAATGATGGTAATACAGATGATTCATTATCTTAAATATAAAACAAAGGATTTTCAAAATATGCTAATGAGGGATTTAATATTCACGTTACTCAATTCACGCTGTTCTGTTATAATGTAGTTAAAAATTTATATTCGTATTTAAGAATATTTAAAAATCAGTTATAAAATCTTTCACTTGCTATAATTCATATACATTAAAGTTATCATTAAAGCAGTCAAGAGGAAATATACTAGGGGGAAATACTGCAGAGTGGAAAACTTGGCCTCTATACTTAAGAAACATATACATATATGACAAAGATAAATTGGCAAATGCACACATACACACCTATTTCTGGGAAACCACTAAGACAGGAATAAGACTTCCTACACTGAGCACTAGCCTTAACTTTAACTGAGTCCAGGGCCTGAATCTTGCTATTACCTAACATGTTTATCAATAAAAATGTGTGGCATCATTCTCTTATGTGACCAGTTTATGATCTCCTTTTCTCTGGAACAAAGGTTAATTTATACATCTTGGCAGAATATCTTTACTGGCCTTGAAGCTGACAGACTGACAATCATAATCTAAGCTTTTCAAATGAATGCCTTTCAAGTTTCTAGCACATGCTCAAGGCACAATAGAAAATTCAGATAGGATGTGACATCCAGTAATACATCATTGGATGTGAGCGTGTCATGCATCACATTGGCTGGAGCCAACAGAAAGTATGCTTTATAAAGTACAGCACTGAATAAAGGCTCTTTGGCTTTAGCAAAGCAGACTTTGGGCCAGCAAGTTCAGCATTCACTCTATAATTAGCTCTGTGAGTTCAAACAACTTAACCTTGCTGAGCCTCTGTGTCCTGACATGCTGAAAGGAGAGAACATCTATCTCATTGCCTCGTCTTAAGGTTCCTTAGAGTCTCCATAGTTCCAAAGCTCATGGTCTTGACAGTCCACAAGGAACAATGATAAGTCTTCCAAGACATAGGAGCCTAGACCCATGAGCTGTGGCGATGTCATACCATTAGGCTAGGAGAAGGAACCACATCAAGAGATTCTAGCTGCACAGTTCAACTTTCAAGCACTGTTTTCTGTAGATCATCCAGTCTATATATCCTCAGGCCTTTTCCTGGCCAATCCCAGATGGCAATGGTGGAAATGGAGAGAAAAAAGGGATAATGGTCTGATTCTCATAGGAATGATATGTTTGAAAAACAAAATTTCCACAACTATTTAATTCTGTAATTTCCATATCACTGAAAACATTTGAGAATAAAGACTTTCACATAAAAATGGTAAAATATCTGTGATAGCTCCCTCCTCTTGCCTTAAACTCCAAAAATGGTAGAAGAGCTATTTAATTTATAATCCCACTAGAACATAACAAATAGTGTACTCTGTGAACCAGCAATTAAGGTAAATTCTTGAGAAATGGAAGACAGAGTATCTGGTTGAACAATGGATTCATTATTCAAAGCACGTGACGGAGGGTATTGTTGACAACAGAATGGCTGCAAGGGTATTCCAAATCAGGCAGAATTTGAACCTGCATTGCATGGGCTTCTGGGGCAACTGACAGTAGTTAAACATTTTAACTCCTGCATATAATCTCTCCCTCCTTGGGTCAGACAGAGAACAAAGGATAATTTCTCCTAGGCCAGAGCAGAGAGTAAAGATACTTGAATTGGAGGCACAGGGCAAAGCCTTCCACTTTTTAAACACCCAGAGGAAAAAGGACCATCTGTGCCCAGATCATTAGTACTGACACAGCCTACCTAGAAGTTTGTCCCACCATCCCCCTTACACTTAGGATCAGGTATCTCCCAAACACAGCATCCTGACCCATTTCTTCCAGCAAGTTGTGTGGTAAACACAGGTTAATGAGGAAATATCCATACTAAGATGGGTATACAACCAAGTATCACCCAACATTGGAGGGAAGCCATGACTATGAATCAGAAGCACACAACTTAATGAATCTAAGGAAAATAATTAAGAGATTTTCAGAAGTATGACCAGTATTCTCAAAAAGAGGATAAGTATTGCATTCATTATAAAGAATTAATTTCACATCTTGAGAATAAAATGTTAATGCGAAAAACTCAATACATTGCTCTCAGCAGTGTCCTTTCTGCTATATGGCCAATTTAGCAGGCTTGAAGCCAAGAAATTTTGCCAGAATTCAGCGGAAGATTTTTAAAAGTCTGAAAGTTAAGAGAAATGGCTACTATTGTTCCCATAGTGCTTTCCCTTACTTCCTATACCATCTTCCTTCATTCTTCCATCCTTCTCTTCATATTTGTTTTTTAATTGCCTTATTTTAAGTTTTAATGTCAAAGGCTATCTCAAAACCATTGAAGTAATAAAACACACGTGCAGTATGGTCTCATTTCATTGAGATTTAAGAATGTCCCTTTAAAACAGAAGATCCTCTCAATTTTACAATAGGGTTTTTCCATAGTTTTCATGCCCAAGTTATAATTCCATCTGGTCTCATTACCAAGAAGAATTTTCCTTTCCCATCATAGGACCCTTAGTTTTCTAGATCCTGTTCTGAAGCAATAGCATACAATATACATCATAATGTCCATGGCAACAGATTCATATGCCAATCAGGAATGCAATTTATAGAAGCAGAAAGTGTCTGAAATTGGCCTTTGATTTTATGGACTCATTGTTGGGTTTGGGCCAAGCTGCATGATCTTACCATGGCATTTCAGATAGGCCTTATAAAAAAAAAAATCTGTTTTCCCTTTGTAGCAATCTAGATTAGGTGGGAATGGGTTTCTGACAGACCAAGTAACAGTCTCTAGGGTGGTGGTGTTTTTTTTTTTTTTTTTTTTTTTTAACCATCACCATTCCCCAGGCTCAGTCTAGTCCTTGTATTAAAAAGCTACACACACACACATGCATGTGAACACATTGATTGGTTACCCAGGATTCATTTTTCTTTTCCTCCTAAGAGAGCCTTCCTTTGCTTTAGACACATACCCCTCCTCTACACTGTTCCAGTAAATCCAGAGAAGCAATTTCCAGTTCCAGAGCTGAATCTTGATTAATGCCTAGACTCAAAGCTGGCCTTGGTAATCTCATCCTACATGTTAATAATTGGCTCAAGAAGTCAGTCTTAAGCCAATCAACACATGGCATTCCTATGGTCCAATTATGGCAGTAAGACCTAACAAGGCTCATTTCAATTTAAACTCTTGGAAGAAATTTTATTGGATGGGTAGGAGAGAGGTTTTTTCCTGTCTAGTGTTGGATGTGCTAAGAGTTTTCTGTTGCCTATAATCATGTGGGCTGTCATGAGAAAAGTCATCCTGAAGAGAAAGCTTACAGGAAAATGTAGAGCCAAGAGAATAGTGGAGAAAGGTGGCTGAAACACCGATTATACCTTGTCTGGAGTCCACTCTGATTCTGGACTCTCAAATAGATTCAATTTTTCCATATTGTTTTAAACTAGTTTGATTTAGGATTCTGTTACAGACTGCCCAAAATCTTATTCAATAAAATTGTACACTGTATATGCCATGACTTGGATATATGGTCTAATACAGCAAATTGGAGGATACAACAATAGCTTAGTTTTATTGAAATAAACAGAGTGTGTCTAAACAAGCGATTCCTTTACTGTCACAAAAAAAAAAAAAAGAGGTTCTGTATTCTCTTTGTGTGATAGAATAAAAAAATTAGCAAGTAGGGCTAAAGGGTTAATCACTTTGAAGAGCCCAACGTCAATGCAAAGGGTTAACAGCCAGGGCTCATGAGTGATCATTAGCCAAACAGTTCTGAGTTCATGGCTGCTGTGGTCCATTCGTTTCCATCCAGATGGTGTTAGTACTGGGCAGAAGAGTAACTGTAGTCCATATGGGCAGGTTGCCCCAACCGGACCCATCTGTAGACCCATATGAGACATGAGTTGGAATTTCCCCCACCCCCTTTCTACAGGCCACTTGGGCCACCATAGGAATAGGAGCGCGGGCATTTACAGGTCTATCGACACCACCATTTCTAAAGACAGTAAGCTGGCAAACATGGTGTTCCTCTGCTGCAAATAGGCATGCCACTTAGTCAAAGTGGGGTTTGAGTCATGGGAGAGGTGAATGGATGAAACATTCTCAACCCACACATTGATTTGAAGGGACGTTCTTACCATGATAGGCTGTTCCTTCCTGAGCAGCTCTCCTGAAGGAGTGCACATTGCTAGGAGCTGTTGCTCTATGGGATATGTCAGGCTTCTGCCCCCTTTCAAAGCTGACCAAAATTCTAAGGGTACACTCTCCTTCTGTTGTCTCTGCCACAGCACCTAACCCATACCTTTTAGAGTTACAGTTACATCTAACTCAGAGGGTGACCCTGCGTGGGAGATGCCCAGAGCTTTAATTTACTTCTCAAGTATTTTTGCCTTCTCAAAGGTGGCTTGCTGCTATGATCCTCGGTCCCATGTGTGCTCGCTCTTTGCCAGAGAGTAAAAGGGTAAAAAGGCACTATGCTAAGTGGAAAATAAGAGTTTTCCAAAGCACCCAAATCCTATAGAGACTTGCACTTTTTCCTATGTTGGGGTTGGGTAAACGTGTACCTTATCAGTTTGTAAAAGATGAAATGAAATGGGGTAATTTATGGCAAGGGAGGTTTTAAAATGGAGCCAGGGGACCCTCAAGGAGATGAGCCTAATGCAAGTCTTCACTGGAGAACCATAAAGTTTTGAAATGGGCCAAACCACGATATTCCAGAGACTTGTGAATATGCAGTATTGGCAACTTGCCACAGTAGGAAACTTTGCTTAGTGATAGTCTTAGCAACAAATTATATACAGTCAAGATTACATTCAGTCAAGATTAGTTTTCTGTCACCAATATCAAAATTCTTTGTAAATAAGATATACAAGGAAATCCAGCGAAAAATGGCAGATTAGAAGGATCCTGAG